AATCAAGATGGCTCAGCAGTGATACATCCTAGAACATTATGAAGCCCCCAGGAACAAACACTGCATAGGAATGAATGGTGACAGGTTCCTCTTTGCTCAGAGCCCAGTGGTGAGGCATTTGGTCTTTCACCCTTCTGTATGATGTTGATTCTTCACAGATGTGTTTTATCAAGTTGAGGAAGGTCTCCACACTCCCTGCCCTTCTGTTTGTTTTTTTTTTTGATACAGATTTTTTTGATGCACTGTGTAGTCAGAATGGCTTCAGATTTGCTCTGTAGCCCAGGCTGGCCTCCTGCCTCAGTCTCCTAGGCATTGAGATCACAGGTGAGTACCACTGTGCCCCCCTCTGTCCTGCTCTTAGTTGAGTGGGAGTTCACTTCTCTTCACTACTGAGAAGGTCATTTGAACCTTCTTTCATTTTTTCTTTGATAGTTCTGAGTTTTTAACTGTTAAACGAAGATTATAGTCCTGGTGTAAAGCCCAGTGAACTAATTTAAAAATAGTTGTTCTACCAAGTGAGTTCCAGGAGAGGTGCAAAGCTACACGGAGAAACCCTGTCTCGAAAAAACCAAAAAAAAAAAAAAAAAAAAAAAAAAAAAAAAAAACCAAAAAAAAAAAAATAGTTGTTGAAGTTACATGTTGCAATTAGTCGAATTGTTTTAAATGTTGCATTTATGTACATGGGGACATACTGAACTCCACTTTACATGGACTTGGCTTTCCTGTTGAGTTAACACCTTAGGACAGGTGCTGTGAGCTACTCCTTCCTAATCTGGTTCTGAAAGATTCAGTGTACATTTCAATTATTTTCCTAAGTGGTAGAAAATTCTCCATGGAAGCCACCTGAGCTTAGTGTTTTGTAGAGGTATTTTTAGGTCTAGATACAATTTACCAGATACGTGATTATTTAGTTTATCCATTTGTTTTCTTTATTTTTTCCCTGCAGTACTGAGGATCAAACTCAAGGCTCCATGGATGCTGCACAAGTGCTGCCCTTCTACAAGCCCTTGTCTTTTTTTTTTAATCAAGACAGGGTTTCCCTGGGTAGCCCTGGCTGTCCTGGATCTCGCTCTGTAGACCAGGCTGTCCTTGAACTCCCAGGGATCCTCCTGCCTCTGCTTCCCGAGTGCTGAGATTAAAGGCGTGTGCCACCTCCACCTGGCTGTCTATTTAATTTTAATTAAGTCTCATTAGACATGGTCTTTCAAGAAATTTGCTCATTGTATTTATTAGTCTGAGAGCTTTATTTCAGAAAGATACGTTTGTTGGATATAGAATTCCAGGTTTGACAGTTTCAAGTACTTAGAGGTTGTCGTTCACTGAATTTTGGTTTCACATTTTCTGACATGATGTTATCCATTGTTCTCATTCATTCTCTAGATATGAATTAGAAAATAAACCTTTGCTAGCTTGTGGCAGCAGTGCATCCACACGTGTGTGTGTGTGTGTGTGTGTGTGTGTGTGTGTGTGTGTATGTGTAGTTTTGTGGTGCTAGGGTTCAAACACAGGGTCTCACTCTTGCCAAACAAGTACCTTACTATTGAGTCACACACCCCACTTCCCTTTGTTATTATAAGATTTTCCCCCTCATTTCTGAGTTTCAGCAATTGGATTAGAATAAACTTTGATATTGCTTAACATTTCCTTTTCTTAGGATTCATAAAATTTCTTGCTATGTGATTTTAAGATTTCCATCAAATTTGGAAAATTTTCAGCCTTAACAGTTTCTTCAGATATTTTCCCATCCCTTCTGAGCTGTATCAATTACCTGCATTTGATACAGGTCTTTTTTTTCATTTGATAACGGTCCCATGGATCACTCTTGCTCTTCAGTCTTTTTTCAGTCTTCCCCCTTCTATTAGGAGTTTACGTGGCACTTGTTCTTTAAAAAAAATTAAATGAGCATACAAATAGGTTTCATTTTCATATGTATCTGATTATGCATATGGTATATGTATATATCCTTATATTTTATTTATATTTATCCCCTTGTGTCCCCCTCACACCCCTGAATGTTATTGGAATTTTGATGGAGTTTGCACTGAGTCCATAGGTCACTTTTGGTGATACAGTCATTTTCCTCATCAGTTTTACGAGTTCGCTTTGATGGATATAGTACTTTTGGTTAGCAGCTACTTCTAGAGCTTGAGATACGTCACTCCGTGCTTTTCTTGCTTTGTGGGTGGTGGCAGAGAGTGTTGATGGTATTCTTCTGTGTTCACTTTTATAGATGAGTTGGTGATTCTCTGTTTCACCTTTTTCTAATGTGTGCAGGTGTGCACAGGCCGGAGGACAATCTTGGGTGTTGTTCTTAGGAATGCAGTCTACCAGTTTTGAGACAGGGACTTTCACTGGCCTAGAGCTCACCAGTGAGCCAGACTGGCAGGCCAGAGCCAGGGATTCTCCTGTCTCTGCCCCCCTTAGCTCTCGGTTGCAAGCATGTACCACCACGCCCGCCATTTTCACACAGGTTCTGAGGAGCAAACTCACGTTCTTGTGCTTGCAAGACAAACACTTCACCAACTTAGCCCCGCCCACCACTTCCTCCTTTTCAGCTTTTAATGTTGTTTCTCTGCTCTCTATTTTTGACATCTTGACTAAGTCACAGGGAGATTTTTCTCTGGTCATGCCTATTCAGGATTCTAAGCACCCATCTGTCCTTAATGTCCATTTATTTTTCTAGATTTAGAAACTTTTCTGTTGTAATTTCATTGCATAGATTGTAATTTTTCCTTCTGGCTTTTCCTGCTCTGTGGATTCTTAGCTAGTAAGGTCTTTTGATTATATCCCAGAGTTTCTGGGGCTGTGGACATGCCTTTCCCCTCTTTGGATGTTTGAGTACAGTGTTATGTTGCTGGCTTGTCGTCTACCTGTGACAGTCCGTTTTCTCTTAGTTGAGTGTACTGGTGATGTGTTCCACTGTGTTTCTACTTGGTTGCTGGAGTTGTTAATTTTCAGTGTTTCCTCTTCCCTCCCTCCTTCCCTCCCTCCCTCCCTCCCTCCCTTCCTCCCTCCCTCCCTTCCTTCCTTCCTTCCTTCCTTCCTTCCTTCCTTCCTTCCTTCCTTCTTTTCTTCATTCTTTCTTTTTCTTTCTCTCTCTTTCTTTTTTTTCCTTTGAGACAAGACCTCCTAACATTTTAATTATTTTCTTCACATTACTGACTTTTTCCTCCACATTGTTGGTTTTCTCACTGATTTTGCTGACTTTCCCCCTGCCCCTCTGGGCTCCTGTCTTTCCTCTCTGTGCTGAATCCATCTGCCTGCTTGTATCTTCTTTCAGGTCACTGTTCATTTTTGCTAGTAAATGTCTGGATTTCTTTGTCGGGTATTGTACCCATGTCAGTATCTTTAGTTTGGTTGTTAGGAATGGATGGCCTTGCTGAAACTATGGAAGACATGATTCTCATGGCACCTTGTGCCGGCATTGCTAATTGTCTCTGTACTGTTCCAGTGCATGCTCCTTAAGTGGGCATGACTGCTACACTTTTAAGTTCACTGAAGATTTCTTCTACAGTGAGTTTCTGGTCTTCCCATAGAAGAGGGTGTGTGGGTGTGCGTAACATGCTTTAATAAGATTTCTTGTCTTCCTTCTCATTCTTCTACTAAAATACAATTTAATATACTTCAGAGAACAGAGTCCTCCTTCCTTGCACCTCAAGGCGTGGGAGGGGGAAAAGGAAAGGAGAAAAGGAAGGCAGAAGAGAGACTAGAGCGGGCCCTTCAGACTGCGAGCAGAACCTTCAGACTGAGAGCAGAAGCAAAGAGGAACGGAAGAGTCCCGCATGCGTTCACCGCTGGTGCGTTTACTGCTTTGCTCTGTCCCGTGTACGTTTACCGCTGGTGCATTTACTACGTTTATTCTACCCACCTAGAGAAGGGGAGGGCAGTAGTCTCAATCCTGCTGTTTAAGTCAGGGTCCACCAAATCCTCTGCCACAGCCACAAAGCCACAGTAAATTGGTGAAATCAATAACCTCCATAAACGGAAGAGAAAAGAATCAAGAATCCATTAAAAGACATTTAAGGAACTGGATACATGCATTTCCAAAGGAGAGCATGCCATTGAGGAGGAAAAGGGCAGCAGCCCTCTTCTGAGACAGAGCAATTTCACATGCCAGGGACAGCCGGTCTAAGATGTTCTGAGAATAAACTGCAATCTGTTTCTGCCATGACCTCCTTTGAATCACACCGTCTCCCAGCTCCAGCCCTGCCCTGGGCCCTCAGTGTCTGCCCTGGTGCCTGGCTGTGGCACTGCTGGCCAAAATCTAAATTTCAGCTGTTACGAAATGTGTAACCTTAGAGAGCTTAAGCTTTATTTGTATATTTCTCTTTTTTTTTTACCTTTTTCTGCAATTTTATAACATGCAGATACTTGCTAATTTCCTGGACGGTTTCACAGACAAATGGACAAATGGGAGGCATTAGGAATGGTGTCAGAAGTAAACTAGGAAAGACAATCAGAGCTGAGTGGGTACATCATGACATATGACGCTCCGAGTCTCTAAAAGCAGTTAAGGACAGAGAAAATACTGGCCTGGGAGGAAGTGCTAGTTACCCTCTTTGCCTTTTCTTTGTTTTGTGAACTCCAGGTCAAGCCCAGGGCCTCGGGAATGCTAGGTAAGGGCTCCGCCACTTGGTATTTGGAGATAAATCTCTTACAGCGGATGACTCGGATTTATGACTTAGCTGATGCTGACCTTGATTTCTTGACCCTCCTGCCTCCACCCTCCCGAGTGCTGGAACTCTATGTGTGTGCCACTATGCCTGGCAGAACTCATCTTTTAAAAGGATTTTTTCTTTCCTGATTATATATTTTTTCCTTATCTGTATTTTAAAATATGAACGATTGTCCACATTGATGTCAATTCTCTCTTTAAACACAAGATGGCACTAAAGGTCTAATTTTGGGGGAATAAAAATGGTGGATTTCCTTAAAAATACATTCACCATGTAATTATGTAAGCCTATAAGAATGCTATTTAAATCCAATCACTCTGAAAGGACAGCACAAACATGAAATATATTAAATGAGTCTATGTAACCAGAGGAAAATGCAATCACTACTCCAACAGGAAGATTATTTGTGTTTTATGAGTTTAAATACACACAACTAGATGAAAAAACCCACAACTGGTTAAAATCGGATGTAAACATAATACACAATAACTCCATAAGTCAAAATACAGGACAACTGAGTCCAGAGTGTGCTCTGCAAATACAAGAGACTTTGACATTGATATTGACGTGGCACAGGTATTCATCTCCTTTCCAATAGAATAAGGTAAGACTGTTTTAGAGTAAACCTTGATATTGAGGCACACACACACACACACACACACACACCCATCTCCCTTAAAGGTGGACATGATCTGCTCCTGCCTGTGAGCAGACAGGGTGTGTACACTTATTGAGACTTTACATCTCCAGGAAGTATGTACTAGCAGGCAGTAGGAAATACTTGTCTTAATTTTCAAATGAGATTTGTGCTTATCAACACAACTTGGTTGATCTTTGTACCTCCATTATTTTTAAACTGGTAAATTAGAGAAAGGTGTCAGAGGTGATGACCCAGTTGAAAAATGGAGGCAGGGAGCCTAGGTTTGATGCTGTGCACTGGGGCCGGCTAAGTGATGGGGTGTGGGGTGGCTTAGTTGTGACTTTCGGGATGCTTACGTACATCTTTGTGTGTTACACTTACAGCCCTGCCTGTCAACTCCAACAGAACATTAGGGATAAAGGGGAAATGCCTAGTGAGTGGGTACTGTTGTCCCGTGCTACTTCCTGTTCCTTCTATACCTCTCTCTTAACTTCTGTCACTGGAACAAAATACCTTAGACAGTCAACTTAAAAAAAGAAAAGGCTTCTTCGTGGATGATGGTCATTTGGTCCTGTCACTTTGAGCCTTTGACAAGGGGGACATCATAGTGAAACAAAGCTGCTTATTTCATGGTGGTCAGAAAGCAAAAGGAAGAAGGGGTTTGGGTCTCAGTGTCCCCCAAAAAGCATGCCCAGTGACCTAACTTCCTTGCACTAGGCCCTACCTCCTGAAGATCCCTCCACCTCCTGGTAGCACCACAGAGCAAGCCTTTAGCACGCTCTGCTGGTTTGCTTCTCTATTGCTGTTTTAAAACACCATGACCAAAAGCAACCTGCAGAGGAGAGGGTGTATTTGCCTTACAGGTTATAGTCCATCATCAGGGGAAGGGATAGCATGAACTCAGGGCCAGAACCTGAGGACAGGAACTGGAGCAGAAGCCGTGAGGAGCACTGCTTACTGGCTTGTTCCTCATGGTTCACTAAGCTGCTTTCTTCTATTGCCCAGGACCACCTGCCCCAGGGTGGCACCACCCCCATAGGCTGGGCCCTCTTCTAGCAATTAGCTATCAAGAAAATGCCCCATAGACTTACCTACAGGCAATCTGATGGAGGCATTGTCCCAGTCCCAGTTTCTCTTCCCAGATAACTCTAGCTTGAATCAAGTTGACAGGAAAAGCAGGACACATGGTCTTTGGGGAACACACAAGATTCAGACTACAACCATCTGCTGTGTGCGCACAGGAGCAACATTCTTTTAACAATTCCTTATATACTGACCATAAAACTCATCAGAATTAATAACTTAGGTAATTTGCTGGCAGTCAGAGCTTAGACTCTGGATAGAGATGGTTTCTGTTGCTAGGTAAGTAATCATTTGCTATAGCGGATGGCAGTTTCAAGTGCACATAAGCAAGAGCACTCTACAGAATAACCTTCATTACTTTCTGATTTTATATGTTCATTGTTTCTCTTGAGAAAGTAAGTACAAACCACCGATCGGATGTTAGGTTCATTTTCTTTCCTGTCTCATAGGAATAAGGCATTTATGAATATTCAAATGACAGTCAAAGTGTGTAAAAAAGCCTTAGAAATGAACACCAAATCACATGATTGATTGGTGAATATTTATGAGCTGATTATGATAATGAGTTTCTATTAATAGTAACCAAAATACATGTAAGAGTTTAGAATTTGCATAAAATATTTATGACAGTCATATTTCCAGTTTTCAATCCTAGCTTATGGACTATACCCTAGAACTCCCCAAACAGAACCATGGGCCTTAAATTTCATGTTTTTTTCTAAAATTCTAGTTTTAAATGGTGAGACAAGAGGCACATGCATTTTTTTTTCAACGAAGTTAACTGAGTACCTGCTATGTGCTGTGCACTCCACTAAGCCTCGAGAATGCAAAGCTATTCCAATGCCTCTATCCTGGAGACTTCCCCATGAATAGATGAATCTGAACTTCGTGAATGCTGACAGAGATGGGAACTGCATAATACAGAAGAGGGGCTGGGGGTTGGGACCCCTGAGCACATAAAGGACAGTTTCACATGGAGAAGAGTGTGCTTGGATCCATGTCACCCTTGTGGCCTGCTGCGCCAAGCTGAAGAGAGGTGGAGTAGAAAGGCAAATTGCAGGCTGATGGCACTAGATTCGTGTGCTCAACTACGTGTTGTTTTCTAACTTGAGATACATTTACATTTTTCACATATTTCTGCCAGAGAGTATTTTCATTCTGTGGAAAGCTGGGGGGCATAAACTTTCATATTCCCCACTCCTCAGGAACTAATGTTTCTTGAATGTTCACATGCCAAACTTCAAATATGTGGTATCAGTCAAGAGACTCAATGCAAAACAGCTTTGCAAGGAAGGTTGCGTTATGTCCAGGGTGACACATTCTGAGAGGGGAAGAGCCCAGATCTGCCTGACTCTTCCCCCTGCTATTTCCAAGGAAAGGTTTTCCATCTGTGACAGGAGCAAGGACCTGAGCAGACGCAGAGCAAACAGTGGCACGTCTTACGGGCATGTCTGTGTGCTAGGCAGCCCTAGAAGCATTTCCATATATTGAATTAGTGAGCCCTCAAGACCTCTTTGAAAGGCAGGTGCTATTGAACGAACACTTCTGAAGCCAAAGGAGTCAGACACAGTGCTCCAGGTCCTAGAGGTAAAACCCGGACAGTTCCAGGGCCCCTGCACTTGAGCACATACACCAGGGGCCACCTTTTGACTCAGGCCAAGACTTAACTCAGGGTCCCAGTGAAGACTCTGCTAGGAAAGATACTCCAGGTAGAAGGCACTGATGGGGAAGAAATCTCAGGTCTCCGTGCAAGAGTGAGAAAAATAGTTGAGTGTGGCTTAAGAATCAAGTCTTGCTGGGTGAAGGCAGTGATGGGGAACTACAGGAGAAGGGAAAGACAGAGGTAGGTGGGAAAAAGAGTCTTTGCTTAACACAATGCAAATAAGTGCCTTGATTTGCATTTTTCTTTCTAATGAACTAGTGAATGGATAATTAATGAGGATGGAGCCAATGTCCTTCAATAGATGTGGTAAACGAGCTGCTCTACTCACTGAGCCATATCTCCAACTATTTTTTTAAACAGGAAATATCAGTGTAGGGAAGACATTTTTAAACATTTATTTAAAGCAGAGAGATGATAGTCACAATGGTATACATCTGTAATCCCCACACCCAAGAGGTTGAGGCAGGAGGATAGCAGGTTTGAATTTAGCCCAGGTTATGAAGTTAGTTCAAAACCAGCCTTGCTTCAAGAAACTAGGGGCTGGGTATTTGGCTTATCAGTGGTTGAAGGCTTACCTAAGGGTGCAGTGCGCTGCCCTGGGTTTGGTCTCCAGTAGTTCTGAAGCCCCCTCACCCTGCCATGATGGCTATTTTCAGTTGTTAACTTGGTTTAGAATCATGAAGGAGACATACTTCTGAGCATGTCTGATTTCCAGAGGGATTTGACTGAGGAAGGAAGAGCCATCTTGACCGTGAGCAGCACTTGCCCATGGGCTAGGTTCCAGGACCAAGTGAACTGAGAAAAACGAGAAGGCAAGCTGGGCACCAGCACTCGGATCTCTCACTTCCCAATTACGGACACAATGTGACGACCACCTCACCTTCCTGTTTCATGCCTTCCCTGCCGTGATGGCCGATACCCTCACACTGCAAGCCAAAACAGACCCTTCCTTTCTTACACTCTTTCCTTGAGTATTTGTTCACAGCAATGAGAAAAAGTAGCTAACACATAGCCCCAACAGAAACACCACAAAGGAGGCTGGAGAGATGGCTCGGCAGTTAAGAAAGCTTTCCGCTCTCTCAGAAGACCAGAGTTCATTTCCCAGAACCTACAACTTACAGCTACCTGTAACTCCATCTCCAGGGGATCTGACTTCCACATGTGTACACATGCACCCCCATACACACCCATACACACACAGATACACACTCAGGCATAAAGGTAAACAATAAATCTTTAAAGAAACAAACTCTGGTACATAAAAGTATTATGGTATACCTATACGATTACTCACGTGAAAATATTTTCTACTTGAGCCTTCAAGTGAGCACTTTATCATATATCATGCATTTTGGTGAACATTAAGAATTGTTGAAAATTATCTGGAAAGAAGCTGGATTGCACTATTCCTTAGGTTTCTACTATGCTTGCATTCATTTGCATATACAAATATTTATGCCACTACAAAATGCATATAAGTGAAACATCTTTTAAAAACTGTTTTCAATGTGTTTTTTTTTTCTGACTACTCAATTTCACAATTGATAAGAAGCAAATAGCATTTGAGCTGTACATATTCTCATCAGCCACCAGATGGCACAAGGTGTGAGCATTTTATTCTGACAGGGTCACTGCACATAACTTGACCTACAAACTCCAAACTATATATTTTGAAGTGTTCTGTCAGTCAAACAGCTCAGTTATTTTAGCCACATGTAGAAGTGAGTGACTAAGTTGAAACTGATGTGGTCCTCATTTTTCTGAATCTTGGGGTTCTGGGTGACTCTGGCGCTACATCATGAACCAATGAGCAAACACTGAAGACAAAGCAGCTCTGTTACAGGAAACAGGAAAGGGGGCCACGTCAAAGCAATGGCCGTCTTAGATTCTGAATACAATGGCAAAAGAAACTTGATGCATGCCTGCAAGAGAAAGCATGTTTATACTCCTTCAAATTCAGCTTCATACACTGTTTTCCTGCCTGTAATTCATGCCGGAAGCAGAAAAGTGATATAAAAACCTTTCTTCACTTTGGTCCAAAGAAGAGTTGTTGCTAAAGTTTAGAGAAAAAAAAAAAAGATAGCAAAGTCTATTTGATGTTTACTCAACTTCATAACATAGTGCACGTTTAACGATGGTGTGTTCCCCTCTGAAACGCTGGATACTGACTGCGGAGAGCAGGAGCCGCAGAGCAAGATGAAGATGAGGAGGCAGCAGGTCTTCCCTTCCCAGCCTCATGGCAGCACATTGGCTAAACACCGGGAAGAAGGCACACTGTTCACGTGCTTTCTGTCCTGTGTGGACTCCAGAACACACGCACGTGCGTACGCTTGTGCACACCCCCCAACACACATACACAGAGTGAAAATAGAAGGAAAGGGAGACTATTTGGGAAGAGGAAGGGGCCCAGCAGAGAGATGGGCAGGGAGAGAAAGGCAGTGTTTAATATGTCCTGAGTATGTGCTATATTGAATGAAAAAATATCATCATAAACCCCATCACTTGGTACAGTAAACACACCCTTATTTGTTGTGTGTGTGTGGTGTGTGTACACATGTGTGTGGTATGTGCATGTAGACCTATGTGTTTACATGTGTGGCTGTGCACAGGTGTATGGAGGCCAGCGGCTGACATCTGATGTGTTTCTTGATTGTTCCGCTAAGGTAGGTTTCCTTGCGTAGCCTGGAACTCTCCAATTTGGTTAGGAGAAGAAGTATTGCAGCGTGACAGGACCCCCTGTCTGTCTTCTGAGCACAGGGATTGCAGGAGGGACAGCAGGCCTGCCTGGCATTTACATGGGTGCTGGGCACCCGGTCTCTGGTCTTCATACACGCATGGCAAGCACTTTATTCCCGGATCCTCCTCCAATGAAACAATTTTAAATCAGACAAGAATAAAGATTATGTTTGCATAATCTTTACTCATATATATGCATGTATATATTTGTATATATGTGGTTCCCGGGTGAGAAATCTTGGGGCAGACAAAGTCAGAGCTATGAGAAAGATGAAAAGGTGACTGGGGAGAACTAACTCTGAAGAGGACTCGCTTGATTCTTCGCTATGGCTCGTTTCCTGTCTCCATGTTCACCAGCTTTTCTACCTGAACTCCTGTGAAAGGAGATTATACTTTCTTATTATTGTTCTCATACTTAGAAAAGGCCTAGGCTGCTGTTCCCAGGTTTCTGCTAATGGCTCAGTAGAAAGTAGGGAGCAGAATCACCCACATTCAAGGTCAACGCTATCACACAGTCAAAGCCCTCGGAATGTCTTACTTCAATTTCCACTTCTTATGATGCGGCAGATGCTGTCCCTTCCATTTGTAATACCGTTCCATGAAATCCGGATCTCCAAAAACTGAAACAAAATGATTGAAAAAGAAGTATTCATATACACTCTATTAGTTCAGAGTTGAAAGTAACTCACTTCTCATTAAGTTGATATGTGGCAATTGCATACACTGTATAGTTCATGTTACAATGCTTAAAGACTTTGCAAATGTTTTCTTTTTATTGGAACTGTGTAATACTCAATATTGTTTGAAATAAGTAGATTGTGACTTAGAAATTGTTTTCATCATAATGACATTCGTTTATATATCATTTATGCAGTTAAATAAAATTTATGGGAGACCATTATTTTGGACTGAAGTCCTGCACTAGGCCCCAACACCAATGCAAGACGGAGTTCCTCAAGCTGGGTGGTGGTACATGCCCTTAATCCCAGCACTAGGGAGGCAGAAGCTGATGGATCTCTGAGTTCGAGGCCAGACTGGTATACAGAGTGAGTTCTAATACAGCCAGGGCTACACAGAGAAACCCTGTCTTGAGGAAAAACAAAAAAAGGCGGTGTTTCCTTTTTGTTGTTGTTGACATGTTCAGAGTGTGCAAAGCAGCAAAGTCCTCAAACAAAGCAGAGTCACAGCAACCAACAGGAAGGGCCCAGTCAGGCTGGGCAGTGAGATGAGGAAGTATCCTCTGCTGTCCCCTCAATGAGAAAGCTAACTTGGTTGTTTCCAGGCTCCTGTAGGAGCCACGCTCTCCTATCCCCTAGTTAAATGGCTACCCAATTCATGATTCACTAATAAAAGCCCATTTCATCTTTAAACCTGCGGAAACTTTGTGTCTTAGTAATAGTAATAAAGTATTAAGATAACTCATGAAAATCACAGCCCTTAATAGCTTAATGAATTTCTAATTTAGCACTTGGAGTGAAAAATTAAATCTTGGGATTGGAAGTAACAATGTTTTCTTTTCTACTCTGAGAACTGTTTTTGCTTCCAGTTCTGGGAAAACCCAGAGCCTGTGCACACCGGGTAGGTTCTGCTGGGCACCTACATCCCAGTGACATTACAGATCTCCATCTTCCCTACAGCAAGAATCTCCAACAGAAGGTCCTGCTGGCCCTGAGGGAGCCCTTTGGCCACGTTACTGTGACACTGTCCCTCCCCTGGCTGACGACAAGAGCTGGAGCTGCCTCTGGCCCAGTTCATCTTTCTGGATCCATGCCAGTCAAGTTCATTCCTCTCCCAAGGGGTGAGCCTCTAACACTGGAAGGCAGATCTTAAGGAGGCCTTGGCTCCTTCAGTGTTTTCTTAGAACCTGGTTTTTCTAGAGACAATCATCTTCACTGTTCTTGTAAGAACCTTAGTTGATGTTCTTATTAAAATTGATGTTCAGAAGCTGGAGAAATGGAGTGGAGATTGAGAGCACTTGCTGTTCTTCCAGAGGATCTAGGTTCAGTTTTCACCACATGGAGTTAACTGCCTGCAGTTAACTCCAGGGGATCTAAGGCCCCTGGCTTCCACCAGCAGACGCGTGTAATTACACGTAACAAAACCCCCTTTATGTCCAATGCAGGGAATTCAGTTCAGTGGCAGGGCACTGAGGTTCCATCCCTAGCATTCCCAAACATCAGGATTTTGATTTAGTTTGACTGGTACAGGTGCCAGTGGACTTGCCAGACCTCGTGTGCTGCATTTCTGTCAACCCAGCTCGTGTCTTCGTTAGAATATTTTGAAATCATGTTACCTTACTGGCTCACAGGTTTGTGGTTAGTCACAAGCTTTATGCTGCCAATCAAATTCACATAAAAAGTAGCAAAAACTGTACTCTTGACCTACATCACATATCCACACATACTACTTCCCTCCTCTCCCCTCCCGTCCCCTCTCCTACTCTGAGTTCGTAGTTGAACCACCTATCAGGCCGGATGCTCTCCACTAGTCTTATTGTTATCTGGAATCTCTATCATATCAATGGTTTACTTTTTCTTTTGACAGGGCTTCTCTGTGTAGCCCTGGCTGTCCCGGAACTAGCTCTGTAGACCAGGCTGGCCTCAAACTCATGTAGATCTGTCTGCACTGGCATTAAAGGTGTGCACCACCACGCCTGGCCAATGATTTGCTTTTTCTTTGTAGTGTAAAGCCATGCTTTGATAGAGAAAAAAAAAAAAAGGGTTTTCTTTCTGTTAAATAACATGATTTTTCACCAGCAACATTTCTATACACACTCTAATAACTTTTTTCTTCCTCAGACCCACACGAGCACACATAACCACACCGTCTTCCAGGCCTCATTATACTCTTTGTGCTGGCATTTGAGGAGAGCATCCTTTCCAGTAAAGAAGCAGATCTCAGTTCTCTGGGGTTCTTAGTGAAGGGTTGGCTCTCCTTTAGGTGAGAATTACAAGTGACGTTAACGGAACTCTTACTATAGGCTGTGTGCATGTGGAGTAGGTATGGAGGAGAGCCATTATACCGTTATGCCAGACAAACAGACTAGAAATGTTCCAGTGTCTTCTTATCAACAATCTTCAGTTTGCATGGTCAAAATCAAACATTTTGCTAAGTTCCTATTACCTGCCTGTAAACTCCTTAGAAAGCTTACCCACAACATGTGTCTTGTCTCCAAGACCCAGTCAACTGTTAGGATGGATCTACATGGTCAAGGCACGATGCTGATCGGAGGGAAACACTGAGGGACAAGGGCCGGAGAGGGACAAGAAAGGAGGAGGGGCCCAAGTTCTAGAGGGTGAAATCCCTCCCTCGAATTCTTGTCTGTGGGACAGTTTTGTAAGTCATGGCAGAAAAGGGTCCCTTCCACAACTTTCATCATGTAATTTTTTTCTCTTCCATGATGTAATTCTTTCTCTTGAAAATGGCAATGTTGCTTCCACTGTGGGATTTGTTTGTTTCTGCAGGGGTGGTGGTAGGGGGGGCGTGGGGGGGGAGGTGGGGGTTGTAGAGGTCAGAACCTTGTGCCTCCCTACTTTTTTTTTCCCATAATGAGGCAGGGTAGAAAGAGGCGGGGAAAATTTAGGTGGGGGAGGGACATGCGAAGAGAGAAATACTCCTCTCCTTGGAATCCAGTTGAAGCCCTGCCAGTGGGAAGGCAAGAATGCTCAATTAACAACCGCTTGAGGCCTTTCTCCCTTCCCAGCTGTAAACCTGCAATTTTCTAGGAATCTCACCAGAAATCCCGTTTGCAGGGAAAGGACACATGCGTACTATCGTCCTCGAGCAACCCTAGAGGCTCTGGTTTCCCCTTAGCAGATTATAATTTCATCCAAGGCACCTCCAGAACCACTCTATAATCTCACTTAGCCAATGAGAACAAAGCGGGGTGAGACCTTTTGAAATGTAACTTGAGAGTCCCCAAAATGGTCCATATGGTAATTCCAAGACAATTAATTGCCGCTCTCCTTTGAGAAGCCCATGCCTTATTTTTCCTACTTTCCCTTGGGAAACATATAACCCACTCGGGTGTGTCTTTCTTTCTGGATGTCCGTCTCTTAACTCTTATGCTTAAATCTATACTAAAATAGCTTTAACAGACTTTCCAACTTTGCCTCATCTTTGGCACTGAAGCCAGGATTCTTGGCTTGGCCTGAGTCGAGGTCTCTAAAAATCTAGGAGAGTTCAGGTTGCTGTGTGCCCATTTGTCCTTCTGACACGGACAATGATGTACCTCTTGTCCTACATATGCAGAAGTTGACTTCAAAGTTGCCCATCTTCTCTGGAGGGACTGTCACATCCAGAAAACATGGTACCAGCTTGCACTAGTGTGTTTTATTTGCATGCATATTATTTTTAACATTATTATTAGCAACAGAGCACCTAAGAGCAGGGTGAATAGTCTTTGCTTGTTAATAGGGATGAAAGATGGCGTTCAACGAGGTAAGCCGTTCACTCAAATTTGCTTCCCTGTATGTTGCAAAGCTAGCGTTAGGCTAAGGAGTTGCTAACTTCTGACATCATGCTGTTCTCACCTGTGGCTGTGCGTTATGGTCACCTGGGGAGCTTTCAAAACTACCCCTACCCGCTCCTACTGCCAACCTTGATGGAACTGGTCTGGGTGTGCTCTTTTGGTTGGAATTTTTACAAGCTCCTCAGGTGGCTCTAATGAGCAGTTGAGGCTGCGAGGCACAGCTCTGGAAGCAGGCACACTGCCTCTTGCAAGGAAGGAAGGGCCTTTGGAAGACTCAAAGACTCCAAGTCTCCTGGGGTGAAAGCAAGCACCCCCCTGATGCCGGAGGCTGTTTAGCTTGCCTGCTGACAGCAAACAAGCACCAGGGAGCCTCCGCTCCACACCGCACAGCATGCCGCTCTCAGGAATTCTTTTCCTGGAACGTAAGCATTTCCGTATGGGGATCATATTCTGTCGTTAAAGAGCTGTTCCTACAACCATATGCATGGCTCTTCTTTCTGCCAAACCCTTTATTTGACATTTTATAGTGATGGGCAGAGAACAGTGGGGTCACTGGTACATTTCTCTATATGATTTCCTGTGATTGTGAATGAAAATGACATGTATTACAGAAACGCTGCTTTGAATGCAAATCTCACACTATGCTGTGATAATATGTTGTCATATTATAAAGGCAGAAGAGTATCATAGGAAAGAAATGTAGTGCCAGGGGTCTAATCCAAGTCTTTGGATGACGGTGCTAATAATTGAGAGTGGGCATGTGTACTGAATGTGGTTCTCTAGGTACACTCTAAGCACTTCGACCCTATGCCATGATTGTGTTGTGACTACTGTCGTTTTTATAAACAAGACAACTGGGCCAAGGACAGCAGTAGACTTCCCAGTGTTACACAGTCAGCAAATGATAGCAAAGATAAGCCCTGGGAATTCAGCTCCAGAATTTATCTTCTTTATCAATATGTGGTATTTTCTCCTATGTGGGTGACCTTAGCTAAATGACCTGGTTTCTCCTAGTCTCGTTTTCTCATCTGAAAAAAAAGGGTTAGAATAAAGTCTAGTCCCTCAGACAGATAGATGTATGACTAGTTGTTACTTCTATTGAGGTGTTCAGTAAATAAGTATTGGTTGACTAAATAAAGGAATGATGAACTGAGGTGGTTAGAAGCATAGTATATACAGATGCACTCTATAGATTGTATTGTGAAAAAATACACTAATGACTATTGCGGCATTGATATCTAGACATAGCTTTGTGGCTCAAAAATAGGAAAGCGTGTTAATATCCAAGTCAAAACACAACTACTTCCTACTCATAAAATACAAAACTCCTAAAATATGCATGAGATACTAATAACCTCACCAGTGATAAGAATATAAATGTGAGCTGGGCGGTGGTGGCACATGCCTTTAATCCCAGCACTCGGGAGGCAGAGCCAGGCAGATCTCTGTGAGTTCGAGGCCAGCCTGTGCTACCAAGTGAGTTCCAGGAAAACAAACAAACAAACAAAATAATATAAATGTGTAAATGAAGTTATAAGAGGTTTCCTTTGTATTTCTGAGTCATTGAAGTAGCATTCTACAATTTAAAAGCTTTATTTTTATTACTGCAAGGAAATTGGGTCATTAAAAATTTGAGTGTTGGCTCTCATCCAGCTGAACTATTTAAAGACGACAAGGCCAGCAGCACATGTCAGGTTTACATTTACTTTTGAAAATTAGGTGCTGGTTGTTTTTGAAGGCAGGCTCTTGGAACAGTTTTAGAATGATTCTCGCGAAGAAGAGGCAGTGGGATTGTGAAATCTGCCATCCAGTGTTAGATTCAAAGTCCCAGAAATACTTCTGGGCTACAGATAACTATTCCCAGGCTCTTGCTTTTGCAGAGGATGAGTTACAGACTGGGTTAGTGACAGACCCATGTAGCAACAACAAAATTCAACAAGTTGGAGTCAAATGCCTTTGAGGGAGGGACCACTATTAGGAAACCACCATAATTTTCTTTCATTTTAAAATCGCCTTTTATTAAGAGGCAATCATTCCCAAACTTTCTCAAATTTTGGCACATTATTGTATCTTTTGCCTAGGAGTTAAGTTTCTGAGGACCCCTACATTACCATCCTGAATTTTTTTTTTTTTTTGGAGGAATTTGCCTTTTAGTCCCTGAAGTTAATATCTTTCAGCATCATGTTTTCACAACAAATGCTTATTGTCCCCAAATCCATCTGTGCTCCTCCATACTCCATGCATGGTAGGTGCTTGAAATGTATCGACTGGTTAAGGTGCATCTGGCCACCAGGCTTTGACATTTAACACCTGTGAACTCTAATATCAGAAATAAAATTCATTGAACTAACAGTGCTGCTAAAATCTGTGTATTATAATGCACTTTAAATGATTTTTTTCAACTACTAATGTGTGGGTGAGGATGATCATCACAAAATAATCAATAACCACCTTCCTGAAAGAGCATGTGATTTCATAAACATTATCTATCTTACTTGGTTTTGTATTTGTTAAGCTTAGTAGTACTTTTGCCTTAACTTATGCCTAAAAAGTAAATACAACTTCTTGCTATAGTTAGGAAACAACTACAATGAGGTGATGTACAATGAGACTCAAAATTGAAGCAGTGACCTTGAGGGTGGAGGTGAGTAGAAGCATTATAATGTTGTAAGAGATAAATCAAGAATACAAAAAGATTAAGAGGCATACGGTTGTTTTAGGATTCTTGGGCAGAAGAAAATGCAAAAATAGTGAGCTACCAGTACCTAAGACAGAGAAGGAAGAAAGGACAGGGTTGGGAGCTCAAGGGTGAACTGGGTTCAGGATATCTTAAATGGCATGCCTGTACTATATGTAGGTGAGGCTCAGTGCATTGGCTGCCAACATGTATGTAGGTGCAGAAGAGGGTCTGGCTAGAGATGTGGTTTGGGCATCACTGACTGATGAAAAGCATGGCAGTGGGAGAGGCCTTTCAGAGAGAAAGAGAGATGGGGAGAAGGGTAGGAAAAAGGTCACCACTGAGAGCAGAGGCAGAAAAATACTTAGGAAGGAAGAGGAAAACTCGCGGCTGCAGGGTATCTATCCTACACATCAAGGTGAACACAGGCAGTGAGAGCTAAGAAAGACAAGCCCTACAAGATGTCATTGCAGACTCCGGGATCTGCAGTCCCTTCTAACTTCACAATGCCCGTGCCACTTTGGCAGGATGGCTGGGGCAAAGCCACCTTTTCACTTAACTGCATGGAGACTAGATAGCCTACTTGGAGGCAAATAAAGACACGTACTCTAAAAGTCCGGTTAAATGGAACCAGTTGTCCAGCTCTGGCACTCTGTCTCTGTGGTCCCCAGACAATGTTTCCTTGCATTAACATAACTGAACAGCCCTCTGCTCTCACATCTTCTGGCTGCATTCGCTCTCCACACGGCTCTGGCTCGGGGATAACTGTCTGTGAAATGGAAAGGTCCACCCTGCTGTGAACTCCCTTTCTTGGGGGAAGGCAGTTAAGTAAACCTCATGAGATTAAGAACTCCATCAACTGCCTACTCTTCCTTCTTCTGGCTTTTAAAGAGACTCAGGCCGGTCAGGGCTCTACACAAATGAGGAACTAAATTAGCAGCTGTTGAGTGAATAGCATAGTATAGGGAGCCAACATCACAGTCTAGTGCACTTGCATAGCAGATATGTGTCAACTAGTCTTTGAAAGTAAGGCAAACTGAGACTAAGCGACAGGTTAATAGATATTAGGAGAACACAGAATAAGGCTAGATCAGCTTACACGGAGTTTTGGAGAGTTCTGCAGTTTTTGTCGTGGCTATCTCAGACCATGTCTTGTAGTAATCATTAAATGAGATTGTTTTAACTACCCTGAAAATATAAACAAAAGTAAGACCATATGTAATTTGTAAATTCATCCTTAAAATTATCAGAGCACACAATTTAGCTAATATCGTATCAAACTAGACGGATTTGAAAATTCGACACTCTCTTCTTTCCTTTTCTTTTTTTCGTTCTTTTGAGACCAGGTCTATGTGTTCCTGGCAAGTCTTGATCTCTATGTATCCCAGGCTGGCCTGAAACTCACAATCTTCCTGCTTCAGCCTCGTGTGTGCTAGGATTACAGACGTGCCATCATGCTGGGCTTTGGACATACCTCTCTAGGAATTACACATTTGATAGATAAATCAAGAACATTAATTTCACCACTGATGAGTATAAATCACTGAAGAGCTGTCTAATTCATTTTTCAATAACGAATGGACGTGTTCACCTGTGTGCACATTTATCTATACCGTAAAAAGAAAACTATAGCTTTAAGACGTCTGCCTTTAATGCCAATATTTAAAAGGAGCTTTAAGGGAAGCATTGTATTTGTAATTTTTTTCATTTTGCCATAAAGTTTTCTTAAACATCATATCAAATTTAGTATGATTGTTGTTATTTCCTCTTCATAGGGAGAATAAAAGCATCAGAATGGAGATTAATTTTTACACAGACTCTAGCCACATGGAAACCCCCTCTTTCCTCATCTCCACATCTGAACATTTCCCTCTCTAGTAGTGTCATTACGCCCTAACAGGGGAGTGGAGATGATTGGAAAGCAGTAAGTGGTGACTCTAGAACACTTCCCAAATCACTGCATCGGCACATGTTTTGACTATGAACTTGTTGAACACAGCAATTTCTAGCTCTGTAAATAAAAAATTACTTAGAGATCATGTTCAGGCATGTGAAATCACCAGCTAACTGGTGCAAGTAGATGCTTAAGCATCAGGTGTAATATCCCTTATGTCTGTTCTGCAATTTAATTTCTCAGTTCTTTGGAAGAAGAAACACATTTTCAGTCAAAACAAATATATTAGTATTAATTTTTATGGATCAACTGTAAGTTCCTTAAGGTAAATATTTGACTCAATTCTGAAATTAATGGAGCAATATTTAAATGGATCAGTGCGTCCATTTATTTAGCAGTTTACGACACCTAATTTTAAGACTAACATTTTTCAAATGTGTTATTACTTTTCCAACCACACGTAAGTAGAACTCTGAGACTGGGTGAAGATGAATTAACCATTCCTCTTATTGCATCCAGCACAGCCTGCCAAGCTTCACATGACCAAATGATATGCTAAGGTAACATGAATTTGCCCCCTGAAATGTTTCAGCATTTTGCAGAGAGGGTAACAAAATGAAAGGCTGCCTTGTATCTCCTGCACGAAAATCTTGAGATCAATTTGCCGTCACAGATCATTTAGCAGACAACAATGATCCAAGAGGAAGGAAACTGTCAACACACTGTCTCATGGAAAAAAAAAATCCATCTTTAGGCACAATGGTCTCCATTGTCTTTTGTCTGTTTGAGGATGACCCATGACCCTCTCCCTTCCCAGGGGTGTCCTGTTCAGTTTCAAACTGTTAGCCCTCTGGAGACTTCTTTTCTTTCTTCCAGAATAATTAAAAATATTACCCTAAAAAGCATAACTGTGGTTAGCTTGAATACACAAAACAGAATATCTTAAATGTTTGCATTTCCAATTATATAAAGGAAACAGTCCCTTAAAATAACAGTAACTATATTTACTGCTATTCAGATAGGCTATTAAGCTAACAAGGAGATAAACGGCATAAAAATATGTTTGTAGTTCCCATCAATATCAAGAACATACTGAATATCATCTCTGACAATGATAAAGGAGAAAATATAAATTTATAAATTTATACTGGAGAGTAGAGCTGGTTATTCAGTTGAAATAAGACATATCCCTGAATGAGTAAAGAGAACACCTTTCTCTATTCCCACAATAAGGCACTGCGTGGTTCAACATTTGGATAACATGATACATTGACCATACTTCTTAGATTGACCATACCTCTTAAGAAATGACAATAAACAAAAGAATTTGGAGGACGGCAATAAAAGTTTTGTTTGACAGTCATCAGGGAGTCATCTGGGTGCATGTCTGTGGAAAGGAAGGAGGCATCCTAGGCTCAGGGAACATCCTCAGCCATATTTGGGACTGGGGTATGGAGTGCATGCATGTACACACAGAGGATCTTGGAGGAAGGAAGACAGGATGAGGCAGTTGAGTTCAGTGGAGAGTTGAGATCGAGAGCAGCTGAAGGCTGTGCAAATGGGTGAAGGTTGGCGGTACAGAATCATTACATGTGGGCGGAGAGTGGTTAGAATGCTTGACCACCCTGGTTCATCAGAACTGAGAGCCATCAGTGTCTGCTAACTAGGAAAGTAAAGAAGAAGCTGGGCCTTGAGCAATGGTTTCCTCAGGGGTCTCACACAGGGTAAGCTCCCTAAGACTAAACGGAGGATCAGTCAGGAAATGAAGTAATGGAGGTGGGAGCTACCTGAGAGTTAACAGGGCTAGGAGCAAAGGTTAGGAGCGGGCACAGACGAAACCAAGATAAAGCTGAAGAAAGATCTGACTGGCCACCTGACACATGAGGGATGAAGGAATGTTGGGGTCAAATCTTTTCTGAAGCCCAGAAGACTAGTTTTCTATTAATAGAAAGCATTATGTGGGACTGTAGTAAAATATGAGTGTAATTTTAGTGGCAGACTCACGTGATGATATGACAGAGAAGCCAAAATGACCTTTAGGGATCTGATGGTGAAATTGGAAATGGAAAAAAAAAAGAGAGAGAGAGAGAGATGGACAGATGAAGCCATTAAGGAAAACAATCTCCAGACCAGTGTTTAGAAGAGGAAGAGCAGATACCAACTTAAAGGGAGCCAGCAAGGGTGCTGGTTTTATTGAGGTTTTATTGAGCTGTGACCATTTATTGTTGAGTTGCATCAATACACTATAATAACCACAAAGGCATTTGTAAGATGTAAGATGTAAGCCCGAGATGCCCAGGCAATGTTGAGAAGAAATAACTTCCTTGACAGGACATGGAAAGGAACATGTAGAGGCCTGCTCTCAAGAGGAGCCCAGGTTGGAGGTCATTTCTAAAGGCAGGCCAGGAATTCCCCTGTGGACTAGGGAGCAGGGCTTTCTTTGCAGAGGGTGATGTAGAAAAGCATGTGTCCCACAAACTGCTAAACACAGTAGTCCCTGCTTACCCACAGGCAGTGAGCACATTCCAAGACCCCCAGTGGAGGCCAAAATCACAGACAGTACCAAACTCTGTGTGTGTGTGTGTGTGTGTGTGTGTGTGTGTGTGTGCATCTCCACCTATACATCTGTATTAGTCACTTGTCTTGTTGCTATAACAAAATACCCCACAAAAACAGCTTAAGGATGGAAGGGTTTTTTGGGCTCCCAGTTGGAGGGAGGGAAGTCATGGTGGCAGCTGGTCACATTGCAGCCAAGAAGAAGAGAGCAATACATGGTGCTGCTTAGCTGTCCTTTCCCTTTCAAAGATGTTTTGGGACATGGGGCTAGAGAGATGGCTCAGCAGTTTAGAGCAAGCACTTGCTGCTCTTGCAGAGGACCTGGGTACCATTCCACATGGTGGCTTTCAGCCATCTCTAACTCCAGTTCTAGGGGATACAATGCCCTCTTCTGACTTCTGGAGACACCAGGCACACACATGTATATGTATATACACAAATGCAGGCAAAACATTCGTATGCATAAATTTAATAAATAAATCTAAAAAATAAGTAATCTTAAACAGAACAATTATGACAACATGCTATAATAAAGCTATGTGAATGAGTGTGGTATCTCTGTGTCTTACACTGTTTTATTGTCCTGCACTCACCCTTCCCATCATGATGTGAGTTGACAGATGCCTATGTGAAAAGATGAAGTGATTTGAGTGATGCAGGCATTGTGAGACAGATTAATACTGCAGCAGTCTATCAGGTAGTCTTTATGGCTATTGGGTGACTGATGGACATAGAGTAGACTGAGCATGGATATATTGGATAAGAATCTAAGTCTCTTCCAGGTGATAGGAATAGCACAAGATTCATCCTGCTGCTTAAACTTATGAAAAAAAATTTTTTTTTTCTGGAATTTTCCAGCAAGGGGAAAAGGCAAGCTCACTGCCTGGATGAAGAAAATAACAGTGATGCTGTTCTATAGAAGCAACACACAGCTTGAACTTTGGCTGGTTGGAAATATCTCCAATACCATCCACTAGTTCTTAGCACCATGGTTAAGACTACAGGGTCTGGAATTAGTGGGGTGAACCAACCCTCTGGCTCCATTACTTATTGGCCGTGTGACGAGGTAAGTGATGTAACCTTTCCACACTTGTTTCCTCATCGCTAAAAGAAAAGGAACTTTTCTCCAGGGGTTGTCATAAGTATTCAGTGAAATCATGCCTGAAAAGAGCCAAGTTTAGCACCTCGTCAGCACTCAGAGTCACTGGCCTCCTCAACTGCCTTCCCAAAGTATCTCATCATTTCTCACAGCTCACTCTAGACAGCCTCCTAGCTGCTTTTCTGCCCTCCACTCTTTATGCCAGGGAGGGTGACGCCTCTGTGGGAAGTGATATTTGTCATCTAATTCTAGAGGATGAAGTCTCAACACTTTCAAGTGAAACTCAAGGTTCTTCATCAGCTGGCCATGCCCTTCCTTCTTCCGGTCCCTCATTCCTCTCCACCATCTCTTGGGATTTCCTGTAAATCTCAAATATCCTATAATATTGTACTCCTGTTTCTGTGCAAATTTCTAGTTATAGCTCTCCCCTCTTCTTTTCATTCCACACTCTTGTTCATCAAAGTCTGGGTCCAGCCAAATAATTGTACATGAAGGCTGCCGTAGGGGGCACCTGGGGTTTCGCATGTTCAGTACCTCTCATGCTCTTCCCCCATCATGGGGAGAGCCAGCTCTAAATGAGAGCAAGATTGACAGATGAGGCTCTCTGATCAGAGCATTTATTTCAGGGACAGGAACAGGGGTTACAAAGATTAAACCAGGACTGGGGAGATGGCTCTATGGGTAAGGACGTTTGGCACACGTGAGGACCTGAGTTCGGTTCCCGGAACCCAAATAAAGGTTGGACTGGATGTTTGCATCTGTATTCCCAACATGGCTGCAGGTGCGAGACAGTGCAATAGCTAGGGCTTGCTGGCCAGCCAGGCTAGTCAAAAAGTGGCAGGTTCCAGGTTCAGTGAGGGACCCTGTCTCGAGTTAATAAGACAGAGAGGGATGGAGTGATCCATCCAATGTTCAATCCACCCAATGTCTTCCCTTGGCCACCACATGAGTGCACGTGGTTACATGCATGCATGCATGCATGCATGTGCTCACATGCACACACACACACACTCACACACTCTCACCCCAATGTGTGCACTCATTCAGGATTGAATCAGAGTGAGGCTCATTGCAACATTCTAGTACGGCACATGTTGATACCTCAGGTCAGTCACTTTTCTTATCTTGACTGCCTTGTTATGGTCATCCTTTTACACTCCTAGGCAAGTGTTAGAAGCAGCTTCTAAGGTTCTGGGGGAAAAAACTCAACTTAAGTAGGAGTAAATACTTTGGGAACAATCTATATATATATATATTGGAGCCCTTAAAGAGACAAGTAGTGGATGTTTCTCCTCCTTATGTCCTTTTATCTTAGAAATATTTTGTGGATTTCAGTATAGGTGTCTTATATATCTTTGTTACATTGTGATACTATTACAATGACATGTAGAAATTTTCTTGCTGGTGGCACACCTCTAGAACCTCAGCATTGTGGAGGCTGAGATAAGAAGGTGGTAAGCAGTTTCAAAGGCAGTTTTTTTTACCTATTTGGACAGTTGTGTTTATTTAAATTTATTTATTTATTTAAATATAGTTTATTTAAATATTCCTCTTGTCCCTAGAGTCTTTGCTATATTCATTGACTTTCAAGATTTCTCTACTTGCTTGGATTTAACTGTGGACACAGTCATGTCATCTGGGAAAAAATAATTTGCAGTAGTCTGCCCCAGACCCATAGGTTTGCTCTCTGCAGTTTTAGTTACCTGTGATTAGTCCTGGTACATGCTGGGAATGGTACCCAGGTCCTCTGCAAGAGCAGCAAGTGCTTGCTCTAAACTGCTGAGCCATCTCTCTAGCCCCATGTCCCAAAACATCTTTGAAAGGAAAAGGACAGCTAAGCAGCACCATGTATTGCTCTCTTCTTCTTGGCTGCAATGTGACCAGCTGCCACCATGACTTCCCTCCCTCCAACTGGGAGCCCAAAAACCCTTCCTTCCTTAAGCTGTTTTTGTGGGGTATTTTGTTATAGCAACAAGACAAGTGACTAATACAGATGTATAGGTGGAGATGCACACAAACACACACACACACACACACACACACACACACACACACACACACACACACACACACACACACACACACACACACACACACACACACACACACACACACACAGAGTTTGGTACTGTCTGTGATTTTGGCCTCCACTGGGGGTCTTGGAATGTGCTCACTGCCTGTGGGTAAGCAGGGACTACTGTGTTTAGCAGTTTGTGGGACACATGCTTTTCTACATCACCCTCTGCAAAGAAAGCCCTGCTCCCTAGTCCACAGGGGAATTCCTGGCCTGCCTTTAGAAATGACCTCCAACCTGGGCTCCTCTTGAGAGCAGGTCTCTACATGTTCCTTTCCATGTCCTGTCAAGGAAGCTATTTCTTCTCAACATTGCCTGGGCATCTCGGGCTTACATCTGCCTTTGTGGTTATTATAGTGTGTTGATGCAACTCAACAATAAATGGTCACAGCTCAATAAAACACCAGACTGCACCTGCAAAATGTGGATACTGAGATCATGTCTTGGTTTTAAAAACAAAAAAGTACAGACTTTTAAAAAACTTAAAAAGAAAAGAAGGCTGTGTGTGTGTGTGTGTGTGTGTGTGTGTGTGTGTGTGTGTGTGTGTGCGTGTGTGTGTGTTTTCTGCTCAAAGTGACTCATTCAAATGGAACTCACTCTGACCTTAGCATTCCTCAAATTCCTTCTTAGCTATACTACTAGTATTTGCCCTGTGGCCTTGGGCACCTGGTGGAATATGTTTTCTACACTGTCCTTGTCCCTGCTGTCTTTCCTGCAGAGAGCTCTGTATTCTAGAATACAAGGCTAATGAGTATAGGGATCACACATTAAAGGGATGTATCCCCAACACTGGGGTATAGTGTCTGATACAGGATAGTGTGTTCAGTGAATTAATTTTAAAGACACAAATAAAGTACCTGCCCTTCCATGGAAAAGATTATGCCACAACTGGTGAATGGCATTCTAGCCGATATGCAAAAATCCACACTGATTGCACAAGTTCAACATCCACAGAACCCCCTGGTTCAACATCCACAGAAACTCCTAGTTCAACATCAACAGAACCCCCTAGTTCAACATCCACAGAACCCCCTAGTCAACATCAACAGAACCCTCTAGTCAACATCAACAGAACCCCCTAGTTCAATATCCACAGAACCCCCAGTCAACATCAGCAGAACCCCCTAGTCCAACATCAACAGAACCCCCTAGTCCAACATCAACAGAACCCCCTAGTCCAACATCAACAGAACCCCCCTAGTCCAACATCAACAGAACCCCCTAGTCCAACATCAACAGAACCCTCTAGTCAACATCAGCAGAACCCCCTACTTCAACATCAACAGAACCCCCTAGTCCAACATCAACAGAACCCCCAAATCCAACATCAACAGAACCCCCCTGCTTCCCTGCCTATGTTCTGCACAGCTGATCAGATTCTGCTTGAGTTTTGTTTGGTCTTTTGTATTCAGAGGCCACACTTCTGGAACACATTTCTATACGTAGATCTTTTCTTCTTGCTCATAAAGTTAATGCAAAGCTCCAAACAGACGAGTTAGATGTCACATTGCTAAGAGCAGTATTTCTCTTTGAATAATCTCTGCAAGACCTCATTGTGATACGTTATTTAAAAAGTAGGGTCCAGCAAGGTGACTCAGAGGACATGAGTCCAATCCCTGGGAACGCTGCTAAAAAAGGCTGATGTGGCAGCATGCATCTTTAACCCCAGGACTCTTCAAGACAGATGAGAGGCAGACAGGCTCAAAGGCTAGCTTTCCTTAGTATACTGTTCAGCAGCAGAAACAAGAGAGACCTATCTCTTTGCCCTCTCTCCATCTCTCTCTTTCTCTTTCTCTCTCACACACCACATGAACACATAAACACAAACACCAATAAACAAAGCATGAGTGACCCAAAGAGAGAAGACACAGTTGAGCTGTACATCAGAAGATGCATATCAGGGGAAAACATGGGAACCCACACAACCAATCTCATCAAGATATATCCTAGAACCATGGAGCGTTCCTGAAGTCCTGACTCTCTAGCCCTGTCCTACCTGAAGACTTTTCTAGAGAATTCAAGGTTGCACAAAGTGAGCTTGATTAAACCAGACCTGATTCGGGGCTATTTAGTCTTGTCTGGGTTCAGAGGAACTGCTGAAACCAAACCAGAGGCAACCTTCTGATCAGGTCCTCTGGACTTGTTGGTTAATGTTGGCACTGTGTGAAGGATACCACAAATAGTTCAACCACAAGCAGCAAGAACATTGCTGTTCCAGGATACCCATGGTTCCTAGATGATGAGACAGCGTGTGTACGGTGCTGACCAGAGTATGATCAGGATAGGGAATGTGCTCTAGATGGCAGGCTGAGTGGACAGCAGCACCTTCACTGAACCCCAGCCAAGTGGCTCAAGTGCACTGGACTGTGCACGATCTTTCTGCACATTTTTAGGACTGTGTCATAAACAGAAGGCACTTAAGTGGCCAAAGTTTGTTTACCTTATGCGATGGCAGTCAAGGAAACCTGGGCTAAATCAAGCATGACTTTAAGACTGGCTAATTGGCTTTAAGTTTAGAGGGCAAGAAAGCAAAGGCTGGCATACTTTTATCAAGTATTTACAAATTGGGAGGCTCTGTAGACTGCACCTTGCTCAAATGCTCAAAGACAAAGTAATGCCACACTGCCAGGCTGTCTCTTAAAACTTACAGCGGGGGCTGGAGAGATGGCTCAGAGCTTAAGGGGACTGCTGCTCTTCCAGAGGTCCAGTTTGATTCCCAACATGAAATCTCTGCAAAGCTCACAATCCCTTGGCATTCCCCATCAGAGGGAGCCAGCACTGTGCTCCTGTGCACCCCATCTCTCATACACACAAAAATCAAAATATAAAACCCGTTTAAAAAAAGGAAAGAAAGAAAGGGAAAAAGAGAGAATGAAGGAAAGGAAGAAAGAAAGAAAGAAAGAAAGGAAGGAAGAAAGAAAGAAAGAAAGGAAGGAAGGAAGGAAGAAAGAAAGAAAGAAAGAAAGAAAGGAAGAAGAGAAAGGACAGATACTCAGGTCTCTGAGATAAGGTTAACCATATCTTCTCCTAATATGCTTGGAGTGGTGTGATCTACAATGGCTTATGCTTATTCCATTGGTAGCACTCTCTTCCATTAAAAAAATAAAAAACAAAATAGATCAGTTCATTATAGATACATCAAAGGTAGATTCAATAGAAAAAACCCAATAATTTCCCACATTCTTCCTAAAAATATTTATTATAAGAGAAACAAATAATTCCCTCTCTAAATTAAATGACATAAAACTCGAGGCTGGAGAGATGGCTCAGCAGTTAAGGGCACTTGCTGCTCTTCCAGAGAATGGCGATTCAGTTCCCAGCACCCATATCAGGGGGCTCACAATCACACAAAGATACAGCTTCAGGGAACCAATGTTCTCTTTTCTCCTCCACAGACACCCACATACACATAAATAAAATAAACGTAAATCTTTTTTAATGTTTTCATTGGAAACTGTAAAGTCAGTATCATTTCATATTGGTTTTGGCTGAAAATTGACAGAGACGTTGATCAAGAGAAACTTACCTGAAACTCTTCTGTGACTTTTCGTATAACCCTAGGCTGCCCTCTCTTTCTGCAAAGAGAAAATAGAACAGGGTTCTGGTGACTTGGACCTGGAACATGTGGTGCTGTGTACGTTCTTTCCAAAATCTCAATAAAATCACAGTGAAGGGATAAAAAAAGTATAGCACAAAACATCGAAGAAGTCAAAGAAAAATGACAAGAAAAAATTTCAAGATGGAAAGCAGATGTCAAATGGTAACTGTGTTGGCAGGTCCCGGAAATCTGAAACCTAACCGAGCAATGAGGAAAGGCGGCAGACAGCAAGCTGTGTTCCAGAAAGAACTCAGGGGCCAGAAGTGCCAGGTAACTCTGAGAGGAGAGGCCAGAGGCAGAGCACAGACCTGCACTTACCTTCCTCACCCCAGAGAACCACAGGGATTCCCTCCTCAGAAAGGAGGGAGGATGCTGACCCTCTGGGAGACAGTCATGGAGACTCAGGGCTGAACGGCACAGGAGTGTGGAGGACAGAAAGTGGGAAGAAGTAAAGACTCCTCCTCTGAGGGACTGTGAAAGAGATGTTCAGATGAAGCAAAAAGAAAACAGACTTCATCCCAATGAGAGAAACAGAGATAAAAGCTTCAGAAATTCCTGAAGGAAGTGAAGGGTACTGGGAAAGATCAGGGGGTGGGGGTGGGGGGAAAGAAAGCCACACCATGACACCCAGAGACAAGTCGAACACGCTACAGCTGCATTGGCATGGATCCCTGGTTGGGGAGGGGACTCAGAAGGCAGGAACAGACAGGCAGACCTACCTTCCAAACAAGCCCATGGTTCCCACAAGCCTCAAATCTAGTCACAGATGTTGGCGAGACAGTGATTCCTTGGAATAGAGTCAGTGGAGGAGAGATTCCATTCTGTCACTCAGCAGCTGGGCCCTTCTATTGTTAACCACTGAGCTACCCTGAGGGCCAGAGATTAGGGGATGCCCACAGGTTAGAAAGACAACTGTCAAGCCCCTGGGTGGGGGGAGGCACAGAGGGGCAGTGGAGAGCAGGAGAGCCACACTCGGAGGGTTGAAAGCTGCAGGCAGTAGGAGGCTAGCTCAGGCTGGGAAGTGGAGGAGGAGGAGGAGAGCCGGCCCTATGTTTGGAGTCCAGGAACCCAGGTCATCAACTAAGAAGTCCTTGGAGTTTGATGGCTTTGAGCCTGAGGTCAGAAGGGGGTCAAATTCTGGAATCATAGGTTGTCATTTACCACTGCAGAGCCTGAGGACTCTGAAGTCCACAGCAGCTGGCCCCAGCAGTCACCAATACTCAGGGAGGGTTGACAGTTCAAAGGCAGGTCCTTTGCCTGTTCACCTTAGTGTTGTTGTTACTTCCTACACTCCCAACATACAGGGGAGACACCCTTGAGCTAAAATGTTCCCCAGAGCAAGGTCTGGGGAGTCTTGGGAGGGTGAAAGACCCTGCCTAGCCCAAAGGATGCGAACCCAGCTGAGGTCCCTGAAGGAAAACGGCTGTTGTGGAGACCACTCTGATGGATATCCCTTGTTTGTCCGGTACAGACTCAGAAACAACAGCACACACCAAAGGGAGGCACAGCCCACAAGGTCAGCTGACCAGCACTTGCTCTAGACGATCAGGACCCAGTAATCGGCTGCTTCCACCCCGTAGATCTGCTCTGTTCTTTTCAGTGTGATACTCTTTTTGACTTAAAACATTTTCAGCAGCAGTTTTAATCTGTTATATCTTTTTATTTGTTTCTTCCTTCATATATTTTTCTAATTCTGTTTATTTGTTCTATTACCGAGTACTTTTTCTCCTTGTTTTTCCTGCTGTATTTCCTCTTCCACCGCTGACACTCAGCAGGACTTTGACTCTACCTTGTTGACATGTTTTCTCTGAAATACTGGTGGTTTTACTTATTATTCTCCTTTTGTTTATCTAATTATGTTTTTTGAACGTTTTCCCTATTGGGAAATCATTTTTTCTTTTTTTTCCCAATCTTTTGCTCCTTAACTGTATCTTATTACTTTCCTATTGCTGTGATAAGACACCACAAGCGAGACATCTTATAGAAGGAAGCATTTAATTCCTTCCATAAGCTCACAGTTACAGAGGATTCGAGTCTATAACCATCATGTTGGGGGCCATGGCAACAGAGAGGTGAGCAGTAACTGGGAGTTCACATGTTGATACAACAGCATGAAACAGAGAGAGAGGAGAGAGAGAGAGAGAGAGAGAGAGAGAGACAGAGAGACAGAGAGAGACAGAGAGAGACAGAGAGACAGAGAGACAGAGAGACAGAGAGAGACAGAGACAGAGACAGAGAGAGAGAGAAAGCAAGAAGACAACACATGTATCTTGGCATAATAAAGGTTATATGAAAAACCTATAGCCAACATGAAACTAAACAGGAAAAACAGAGAACATTTCTTTTAAAACTTGGAAGGAGACAAGGGTGCTCAGTCTATGCATTTTTATTCAACAGAGTGCTCAAAGTCTTCTGTTCAGACAACAAAAATAAAAGGAGGCTGAAGAGTTGGCTTACAGGTTAGGAGCACTGGCTGCTCTACTAGAGGACCGAGGTTCAATTCCCAGCACCCACATGGTGGTTCACAATCACCTTTACCTCCATTCCCAGGGGATCTGATACCCTCTTCTGGCCCCTTGGGCACTGCATGCACACCGTGCACAGACATACATGTTGGTAAAACACCTAAATACACATAAAATGAAAAAAAAACATTAAAAAGAAAGAAAGGAATGGAAATACAAAGGGAAGCAGTCACATCATCTCTATTTTCAGACAACCTGAATCTTTATTTAAGACAACAAATACCCCATCAGAAAACTCTTAGAGCAGACGACACTTTGAACCAAGTGGCAGGATGCCAAATCAACTAGAAAACTAATAATTGTATTAGTAGATTAGTAGATTAGCATCCTTTCTGTTGCTGTGACAAAATACCCCAGGGGGGCAGTTTAATGGGGAGAGGGCTTACTTTGGCTTACTGTTCCAGAACAGTCTTTCTATGGGGGAAGACAGGAAAACAGGAGCAGGAAGCTGGCTCAGTACTTTGCATCAACACTCAGCAAGCAGAGAACAGGAAATGGGGGCCAGCAATGTAATTTCAAAGCTCAGCCCCAGTGATGTCCTTCCTCCAGCAAGGCTCTAGCTCCCAATGACCCTATAACCTTCCCAGTAAGTGCCACCAGGTGGGGACCAAGTGTCCAAACACATGGGCCTGTGTATGAGGAGAAGTTCACATGCAAATACAGTTGTAACCTTTGTATATACAGTGAATTTGCTGAGAAAGAAATTGGAAAAAAAATCGCATTCGTGATAGCTTCAAAAAATTACTAGGAAAAAGCCTAACCAAAGAGATGAGAGCCCTCCACAATAAAAACTTTAAGACACCAAAGAAAAAACTGAAGGAAACACAGGAATATGGAAAGATCTCCAATGATCACAGATAGGCTTAATTAATATAAAAATAATCTACAGATTCGTGGTAATTCCTGCCAAAATTCTAATGACATTCTTCACAGAACTAGAAAAACCACTCCTAAAATTCACATGGAAACACAAGGGCCCTGAATAGATAAAGCAATCCTTTACAGAAAGAGAAATGTTAGAGGTATCATAATTTCTGATCTTAAAATATATTACAGAGCCATAGTAACAAAAATAACATGGCACTGTGTCTTAGTTAGGGTTTCTATTGCTGTGAAAAGACACCATGACCACGGCAACTCTTATAAGGAAAACATTTAATTGAGAGAGCTCAGTTTCAGAGGGTCAGTCCATTATCATCATGGTTGGGAGTATGACTACATGCAGGTAGACGTGATGATGGAGCTGGGAGTCCTTACATCCTTGATAGGCAGGTAACAGGAAGTTGACTGAAAGCCACATTGAGGGAAGCTTGAGCAAAAGAAACCTCAAGGCCCGCCCCCATAGTGACGCACTTCCTTCAACAAGGCCACACCTCCTAATAGTGCCACTCCCTTTGGTGGCCATTTTCTTTCAAACCACCACACACTGACACAAAAACAGACATGTAGAGCAATGTAGTAGAGCAGAGGACCCAGAAAGAACCCTCTACCGCAATAGATACCAAATCGTTGTTGTTTTTTTTAAAGGCCATCAAAAACATACATTGGGGGACTGGAGAGATGGCTCAGAGGTTAAGAGCACTGACTGTTCTTCCAGAGGTCCTGAGTTCAATTCCCAGCAACCACATGGTGGCTCACAACCATCTGTAATGAGATCTGGTGCCCTCTTCTGTATACTAAATAAATAAATCTTAAGAAAAAAACCCCATACATTGAAGAAAAGAATAGCCCTTTAATCAAACAGTGCTGGATAAACTGGATTTCCATATGCAGAAGAATGAAAGTAGATTCACATTTCTTACCCTGCAAAAAAATTAATCAAAACAGATTAAAGACCTCAATGTAAGACGTGAAACCTTGAAAGTGCAGGAGAAAAACAGGTAAAACACTTCAAAATACATTCATGGGCAAGGTTTGCACAGAATTCTATTCTGTATAATACAACAATATGGAATAGTACAGACAATGATCCCCAAAACTGACAAAGGAGATTATATGAAGTTAAGGAACTTCTGCACATCACAATAAACAATCACTGGAGTAAAGAGAAAGCCTGTGCACCTCAGACAAGGGGTTAATACATAGGATTCATAAAGAACTGTGAAAATTAAACAACCCCAAAGCAGCTTATCCAATCAAGGAATAGCTAAGGAACTGAACGGACACCCTGAAAAGAAGAAATCCAAGTGATATTTGAAAAGATATTCAACATTCTTAGTTTTCAGGGGACTGTAAATTCAAATTGCTCTTAGATTCCATTTCACCCGAGTTAGAATGGCTATCAAGGGGACAGATGAGAATATATGCTGGTGTGGATGTTGGAGAAGTGGAATCCTTATTCATTCATCACCAGCAAGAATATAAATTTATATAACCATTATAGAAATTAGTATGGAGACTCACCAAAAAGCTGAATACATTTCTCAAGGCTCTTAGTCAACATACCTCAGAA